ACAAGCACCCACGGACAGGGGGGGGGGGGGGGGGGCTGGAAAACCTCAGCTCAGCTTATATGCAACATTCCTGCGCTCTCCATGAAAGGATGGTGCCAAGCTCAAGGGAGTGGGATTTTCTCCACAAAAGCTTGCAATTTGTTTATTCTTATTTATCAGCCTACCTTTACATTTGTGTAACTTGAAGGACTGCACAGGCTTTTCCTTATCCTCCTGTTCTGACAGTGGAACAAAGACAGCAGAAACTGACCTTACAGATAATCCATTGGGATAAGGGTTTGGAAACCAGGCCATATAAGGGAAGAGTCAGATTAATCAGGAGACAAGAAGGCCGAGAGGAGCCCCGAGAGCCCCTTCCAAGAATCTGAAGGGCAGTCAAGTGGAAGAGGTCACCACAATTATTATTTTTTTGCAGTTCAAGAGGCAGGACCAAAAGCCAAGGCTTCAAAGATACGGGGAAAGAGGTATGGAGGAACCACTAGGAAGCGCTGCCTGACAGTGGGGAGCCCTTCCACAGTAAGAATCCACTGCCCTGGAGGGAACTGGGGGCGGGCAGGAGAGGACTCTCCTTCCCTCCTTGGATATTTCTCAGCACGGGCCGGGTGGCCTCCAGTCAGGGATGCTTTAAGGCGTGGATTTCCTGCCTTGCTAGAGGGCTGGACTGGATGACCCTTTGGGGTCCCTGCCAGCTCTTCATTTCTATGACTCTAGGAAGGTGCCTCCTTTCTGAAGGAGGGTGGAGAGGGGTACACAGAGGAGGCCGTGACCCCCAGCCACTTCAAGGCCAGGGGGGCCCAGGCTGACGTAGAAGACCCCGTGGCTCCATCCAACGGTGGCTGCATCTCAGATGGCACCCAACCCTGGCATCCCTCACTGGCCTCCTCTTTGTGTTGATTTTTTTGGGGGGTGGGGGTGGGGAAGGAATCTAGGAAAAGAGCCGCCCCGCAGGGAGGAGGTGGCTGCTGAAAGGGCTGCTTACCTTGCGCCTCCACGTCCTGCACCATCTTCTCCGCTGTCTTCCTGGCGTAGAATTCATCCGGGCCGTTTTCTGCCACCGCTCTCAGGGTTTCCATCAGAGCTGTCCAGGAAAGGGTTTCCCCGGCCTTCAGGATCTTCCCATCATCCTTGTAAAAAAGTTTGCTGAAAGAGAAGCAAGAGGAAAGAGGGGAGGGGGGCAGGACTGGTCAGCCCCCACTGGCTCTCAGGTACCAACGACTGTTTGTTGAACCGGCAGCAGGAATTCTTTGGGCAGCCAGAGATTCGCAGCTGGAGGGGGTTCGCGGGGGGGGCAGCAGAAGGAGGCCCCCCCCCAAATCCTATGTCTTAGGGAAGTCCGTGTCCCTGATTCAGGGAATGCAACCATTTCCTGCCTGGTTTGCCTTTTCCTTGACACGGAAGGAGAACTCCAGCCAGGCCTGGCTCTGAAGAGGGTCCGCAATTGAGTG